TCATTGAAGTACTCTAGCTTACTTACAGTGTAGTGGACAAGTACAAATGTAGAAATCATAGTTTATTTCGTGTCACAAATCGACTAAATCCCGCATTTTGACAAACTTTAATCAAGTGTGTAGTTACCTAACCATAACCACAATCCTCCCCTACCTTTAATATACATTACATGCATTGTAGGAAAATAGATTCAGCATTGAACGTAATCCAGGGTTTCGCAGATTCGTCGAAAATCATTTGTCCGGCAATAGGAGTGTATGTTCTAACCAATAAACCCCCCGAACATGAGCTACTTGGAAACCTAAACCCCCTTTGATCTGCACTAATACACTGATCTAATGACAGGAAAGTAGCACTCAGGACTTTTAGATTACGTCCCAGGTCATGCAAAGTGTCTTCGACCACGTCCAGAGGCTACATGTTTCTGAAAGGCCACACACAGACGGGACAAAGCCTGAGTCTGTACTCTTGGAAATGACAGAGCAGTTGAGTAATGAATGTTAAAAAGAGAGCTTGTTAAAAGTTATATCCTTGCCTACTTTCACACCTCTGCACATGTTGGGAAGCAGATGGGATGGTCGGTTTCGGTAAAAACTACACAAAATAGTCGGATTCATTCCTTTCTAATCAGGACATTGAAGTGTTTTAGACGCTTTGAAGACAATCTGAAAAGCTTTGTTGGATAAACGTAAAATTGTTGTACTAAACCAAGCGGGCAAAATGTACCAATTACTCTTAACGCAAGTTTGCAGCAAGAATTTAGGGTAGAAACCTAAGTAACTGATTTAAAAGGCTTTAAAACACCTTATTATGTCTTGAATGTTCAATAGAGACTTGAATCCCTTTGTGTTCAGTGAGAACACAAATAGGTACAGAAGTTGATCACCTGATGCCTTAACGGCCATGTGATTGGTTGTTGGTCGAGTTTCAGACACGCCCGCCGGCAAGCTTCAACGCCGTGTGGACGCTGCGTAATTGTAGTGATGTGTCGGTCGCGAACGATCCGATTATTTTGAACGGCCCTTTGGTGCGAACGAAGGGAACCGAGTCGTACTTGGTGAGAGCTGTTCTTTTTATCGCCTGCCACAAATCCACTCGCCTTCACAGGAACTTGCTTTCTGAATGCACATTAGCCGTAGATGGTGACGGCGTAACGCATGCTGCTTGAGGAGTAGTCTGGCTGGCTGAGAGATGTAGCAAGTTATACATTTTCTGTGAGTAAAAGTAGATTTCTGGCAATACAGTCAATCATTATCCTGGTGATTCTTTCGCAGATAAACCTATTAACCCCGCCCCCGGCTCTTTTGAACGGCTCTCGGAAAGGAACGGAGCCATAAGATCCGGCTCCCTTCAAAGAGCCGTGATTCCCATCACCACTTAATTGGGAACAACTGATCCCAGATACAAAACGGTACACACCACATCACTTTTGTCCACTTGCAGCTCTGAATTCTATGACCCAGAGACAAGATTGTAGAGTTTTGTAGCTGTCCGATTCACGGAAAACAGATCTTCCACACTGCGGTGAATAAAGAGCTGCCAGCATTGAACTGTAATTTGTATTTGGCTCAAATGTTCTTCTTCCTCACGCACGCAAATGCAGTCCATGGAGTACAGTTTTGGATTTAGTTTCATCAGAAGGTGGTGAGTTGAGGGGTTTTGTTAGACTTGTATGCTCCATGGGTTTCATTAAAATGCAGTATAATACTCTTTCCCTGTTCATTTGACAAAACCGATGAGGCCAACTGCAGCCAAACAAAGCACTGGTTTCATTAGGCTCTTGTTTACTGTCTGGTTTCTGTTGAACACACCTTCACTTCTCCGTGACAAATAAACTTTCCCAACGACTTTTATGCAAATCGGCGCCAGTGATTTGAATAGAGTCATCGGACCCTCGCTCATGATTACTTTAGATAAACCAAGTCCTTCCTCTTTGGATGGGTGCTAAACATTTGCATAAGCCTGTTTAAGTTTGGGGACTTTTTCCAAACCTTAGGAAGCACAACAAAAAACCTCATATCGGAGAAATCCACGCAGCGTTAAAAAGGTTTCATCACAGTTTCCATCCACTCCGCCAAAACTCAAAAATCCAGCTTGGCAGTCTCACCAATATAATTATTTGTCCTTTTTGGATGGAAATCACAAACGGTTTGTTAGATTTGCATAACGTCTTCCCCCCCTACCAAACGAACAAAGCAAGGGGGGGGGGGCTTCGTCTCGTCCTCCTCCTCCTCATCAACATGTGAAGTGTCTGCGGTCAATGGCGGAGGGGATTTACTCTCACAATAAAGACAGATGCCACCTTTTATCTGCTTAACGGAACAGAGAGGGGCGCGTGGCACTTGTTGTTGGCGCGTAATGACGTGCTGCCTCCACACACACACACACACACACTGAATGGACGTGTTCTTTTTTAGCATGATGGGGCCGTGGGGGAGGGTTTTTTATTTTGGGGATGAATTGGAGGTTCCCCCCAACGACACTTTGGGTGATTTCTCTTTCTACCCCGAGCAGCCTTTTGTTTGTCCCGTATGAATACAAGAGGATAAATGGACCCACAGGAGAGGAGGGTTTCAGCAGATCTGGGGTTGAGTCTAAGCTCCTCGTGGAGACACACTTTTAAACATTTAATCCACAGGCTGTGATCACCTCTGGTATCGGATATAAAAAAGTAGATTTAAAATACGTACGTTTGCCTCCAATAATACTCTTACCGTGTGGTTTGGTGTTAAAGATTATTGAAAATGGGATAAATGTGATTGTTTGCCACATGGAAATGGATATGTTGCACTAATGGGGAGGAAAGTAAAAGCTACAAAAGCATAACATGAAAAAAAGTTCGACATTTGACTGAATTTAGTGTTTTTATGTGACATTATTCAGTTTTATGCATGGCACGTTGCAGAGTTTGACATTATTTGTTCATTTATACCCTTTACAATGTTTGTTTTTGTACATTTTTGCAAGGTTGTCAAGCATACATTGTTTTATGACAGATTTAAATCCAGCCAAAACCACTTGTGTGACCATAACTCAACATAAGAGCACACAAAGACTCCAAACAGGAAGTATTTTAATGAAGTGGCTGTGATGATTTCTGACATTTTTAGCACAAGTCGTTGATATTAATGGTGGTCTTGGAGTTTTCCCTCATGTGACTTTGTTTTAAGAAGATGGTGTATGAGTCACACACACGCACACACACACACACACACACACACACACTGTTCTAACAACCTGACAAATTAAATCACTCAGTGCATATTCATCAGTGACTCTAATCACACGAGGACATCTCAACAAGAACATCAACATGTTGTTATGCAAATCATTCACAGACGTGTGTGTGTGTGTGTGTGTGTGTGTGTGTGTGTGTGTGTGTGTGTGTGTGTGTGTGTGTGTGTGTGTGTGTGTGTGTGTGTGTGTGTGTGTGTGTGTGTGTGTGTGTGTGTGTGTGTGTGTGGTGTGTGTGTGTGTGTGTGTGTGTGTGTGTGTGTGTGTGTGTGGGTGTGTGTGTGTGTGTGTGTGTGTGTGTGTGTGTGTGTGTGTGTGTGTGTGTGTGTGTGTGTGTGTGTGTGTGTGTGTGTGTGTGTGTGTGTGTGTGTGTGTCTCTCTCCCCTCTCTCGGGGTGAGTGACACAGACAAAGACTGAGTGCTCTGAAATGGTCCATTTGATTCCTGGTGGTGTTTCCTTCAGAGTGAGAAACATCTGCCTGCGGAGCGGCTCCCTCTAAACTCTGGAGGCTGGACTCACCCACATATCGGAGCTGGAGAGACCGTGTTTTATTCCGCAGAAGTCTTTTAGGAAACCACAGTGGGGGGGAACACAGGTGAACGTAATACAATGAATGATGGCTTGATGACATTTAGCTGCTGGAGTTTCAGGGTCCAGATATTTTGGTTGCCAACTCACTAAACATGAACATACTTTACAATTGACTGCATTTCACTTCCACCATTGTGTCACTTGCTCTATTTTATTTATGTATCTTCATCATATTGCGTTGTATATGTTGCACTGTTGATTTCCATTGCCAACAAACTGCAGTATAGCCCTGAATTATATATTAGGGCATTTATCATTTCAGTTCATTTTCATCGTGTGTGTGTGTGTGTGTGTGTGTTGTGTGTGTTGTGTGTGTGTGTGTGTGTGTGTGTGTGTGTGTGTGTGTGTGTGTGTGTGTGTGTGTGTGTGTGTGTGTGTGTGTGTGTGTGTTGTGTTGTGTGTGTGTGTGTGTGTGTGTGTGGGTGTGTGTGTGTGTGTGTGTGTGGTGTTGTGTGTGTGTGTGTGTGTGTGTGTGTGACAGACAGACAGTGGAGAGCACGCCATGTTATCTATGACACACACACACACACACAGACCTTCATCATGTGGAGGTCTCAATATAAAAAAATAGTGTGAATATAAGCTACTTTATCCCAAGAACTGCATGAATCTGTCCCACTAGTTGCTAAACCTTGAATGCCCAACACTTTCATATTATAATTATCAAAGCACCCACAACCTTTGTTTTCTAGGATGCCATGTGTATTACTCATAGACTGTATGGTATTACTATTTACTGTCTTGATTCAATTTGTCAAAATCAGTTTGGACACGCCCCTCGACCAATGAGATCGCTCTTCCCGCCTCCATCCGGATCCTTTGGGAATCCGCTTCCTTGTTTTGGGATGGGAACACACTCACACACTCTCTCACGGCTGGTCAGAGAGCAGAGAGAGAGCTTCTCACTGAGGAGCTGGCAGAGTGTGTGTGCGGATCTCAGCCTCTGGTTCTCGGAAACTCCACAATAACTTCCCTCTGACTCCTCTGAGGAAACGTTGGACTCTCCGGACTGTTTTCATCTTGACTCTTCTGGACTGCACCGGGCTTCTCTCACAGGTTGGTGTGTTTCCTCTTTCAATGCATGTTGAACGTTTTGTTGACATTGTGTAAATCTGGAAGTGTTTACATAACATTTTGAATAAGCTCAGGCTTTTTTGTTGCATCCACCTGAAGTGTTTCTGCTGCGAAAGCATGCGTGTGACATTTGCATTTTGGATTTGATTTGTAAATGTACCCTTAAAGGAAGTGGGGTTGCCTGCTTATGTGTGCCCATGTGATAATATAAACACATGATACTCGCAGGCATACTTGCAAAACAAATACAACGTATGGAAATGAGCATTTAATGGGAAAAAAACATAAATATTTCAGTAAAAAAAAAATCATGTTTTGTTATTTAAAGTGTGTTTGCGATGTGGATTCTCACTTCATTTAAACCTTAAACCAGTGAAAATGTGATACAAGTATTTTGTAAACAGTCATTTGAGTTTTTTCCAAGTTTTCCAACATGCAACAACTTTGCTGACTCTGTTTTCCCTCTTTTTCTAAATTGGCTTTTCATTAACCGTCTTCAATATGGAGAATGCGTCACGCTGGGGAAGCATATGGTGTGTGTTGGTGGTGTGTGTGTGTGTGTGTGTGTGTGTGTGTGTGTGTGTGTGTGTGGTGTGTGTGTGTGTGTGTGTGTGTGTGTGTGTGTGTGTGTGTGTGTGTGTGTGTGTGTGTGTGTGTGTGTGTGTGTGTGTGTGTGTGTGTGTGTGTGTGTGTGTGTGTGTGTGTGTGTGTGTGTGTGTGTGTGTGTGTGTGTGTGTGTGTGTGTGTGTGTGTGTGTGTGTGTGTGTGTGTGGTGTCTGTGAGGGACAGGGTGACGTTTCAATTGTCTCGTCTCGCTTTAATTGAGTAATTGAAACCTCTCTCTCTGTGTGTGTGTGTGTGTGTGTGTGTGTGTGTGTGTGTGTGTGTGTGTGTGTGTGTGTGTGTGTGTGTGTGTGTGTGTGTGTGTGTGTGTGTGTGTGTGTGTGTGTGTGTGTGTGTATAATATGCTTATGATATAATGTTACCAATTAGTGTGTGTAGTGAATTGATAACGAGGACATTTAGTTCCTGATGTCAATGTTAACATTTTAAGGACTTTTAGTTGATAAAGTGATGAAGACCATGTGATCAGTAGAAACCTCCAGAACAACTACTAAATGGACCTCGATTAAGAATAAACGTTATTCTAGGAGTTTAGCGTCTTAATTCGACTATTGGAAAAAAAAAAAATGCCCCAACGTAAAGTGTCAAATCCTTACATTTAAGAAGCTGAAATGAGAGAATATTAGGCTTTTTGCTTCATAAGTGGCTTCAAATATGAATGATCTGACTAATGAAATACACGACTAATGGCGTTATTGTATTTCTGTTCATCTGTTTTGCTTCTAAAAAGTGATTGTGAAAGCTTCATTCACTGTAAAGTGTCTATTATAAGGCACGAGGAGACTGCCGTGTTGTTCTGTCAGACTCTCTGCTGATAATTAAAATGAAAGCGGAGCGCTCCACGGCCAAGACGGAAGCCGAGACGGCGAACGAAATCATTTACAAGGAGACTGAAGCCCATTTTCACAAAGTCATAAAACAGCGTTGGGAGAACACAATGTGTCTGGTCAGCTGTGAACAGGAAAAAACATTGGCTCTCCTCCAAACGCTCCACACAGCATCCTTCCTCGTGTTATTACGAGCAAATCTTCACAACTCTCCGTTATTGACTCCCTCCGGTCCTTGTCATGTCTCCTGAGTGCTTGTAAATGTCACGTTGAAATTAACACGTCATTTTGTCAGGGAATGGAATAAATGGAGTAGCTTGTGTCGACAATTTGATACGACCGTTAAGATATTCTTTTAAAAAAATGAACTACGGGTCGTTTAGCGAGGTTTCTACGTGGTGGTTTTTACGTAAATCACTGGACAGCAAATAAATGCCTCCTGTATCCAAACATGTGACGGTAAACTCTGACGTCTTGGATCATGTAAACAGGACTCAGGCTTTCTCCAAATATTCAACGTTTCTCAACGAAATACCTAAAAGCACGTGTTGCAAATTGGATGCACGCTGAGATGATCTCCTCCACCGTCACTAAATGTTATGTTTGAGGAATATATCACAATCCTTAAAGAGCCGCGTTTCCTCCTCTGCGCCCTCGGAGGAGAATGTGTGCGGTTTTTAATTAGTTTGTGTCTCCTGGACTCAATGTGCTGGAAAGCTGTCGAGCAGAGGCAGCCTGGCCCTGACAGTAATCAGGCAATGAATAATGAACACGCACGCGCACACACACACACACACACACACACACACAGACCTGCCATTGACAGCTGTTGGGTATCTTTGTGTATTAACTATATCAGTGGAGTGCAGCTGCATGCCTGCCTGTAGCAATTATGTTCTCGCCAAATAAGAGCCAGCGCTGGGAGGAGGGGCTGTGTGTGTGTGTGTGTGTGTGTATTAGGTGATTAACTTACTCAAAGGATAGCCGCATGATGTGTGTGTGTGTATTAGGTGATTAACTTACTCAAAGGATAGCCGCATGATGTGTGTGTGTGTTTCGAGTAATGTAAACCAGCTCAGGGACTTTAACATGAGCCTCCAGGAGTCTCACACGCACACTGGGAAACACACTTTTATTTTTTTACCTCCACACACATCTCAGTGACATTTTTCTCAGTGTGTCAAGCTTTCCACAACACACACTTTCCTCCACACACACACACACACACACACACACACACACACACACACACACACACACACACACACACACACACACACACACACACACACACACACACACACACACAGAGTCAGACATATGCAATGCTCTGTGTATTTATCCTGCCATGTGACCCAATCACTCTTTGAGGTCCTCAAAGGCTCTGTTGTGCTATGAACTCCACACACACACACACACACACACACACACACACACACACAGACCTCATAAACACTCACTAACCCCGTTAGTACCCACAGGCCTTCTCCCCGCAGCCTTCTCATGCTTAATTTTCTGCTCAATAGGTCAAGAGTAAAAGCAGACATCAAGCGAACACAGACACACACACACACACACAAAATCCGTCTCGAACACGTCGAGTCATGCGGCCGGCCGGCATGTTTTCCAGACAGTCACGACTTTCAGTGATTTTAAAGAGCCATACGGACATGAGTAAAGCCGCTCTTAAGTCAACAACGCCTTCATTGTTGGTGCGGTTTGAAGCCGCCACATGTTTGTCAGGAAAACACTTTTTAATGACCACTTTAGTTATTTGTCATCCGTTGTTTAGCGAGCAAACGTTTTCAGGAGCGGGGGACGTATTCAGATCATAAGTAAAAGCAGAATTACCACACTCAAGCTATTTAAAACTGTGGAAACAAACAATGTAGAAAGTACAATAACAAAGCCCCCTGACAATAACTTGATTTATTTGGCTTTCAAATGCTTAAATAAATGATTGAATTATTTAAATATTGACAATTCGATGTAACCCAGAAACCAAAGGCAGATAAGGAGGAAAGTCCCTGCCACCAAACGACAGACATATTAAGCAAATACTACAGTCCAGTGACTCCGCCACGTTAATGTGAAGCATACACACAACTCAATTATTTCCATAACGACAGATTGCAGAATATGAACATGTGCTCAAAGGGGCAAGTGAAAAAAAAAGATTGATTCACACCTGTGTGATAATTACAGCGTTCTATAAACCAGCCGCTACCAATCGTTATGCTAAGCTAGGCTAATCACATGCTTCATACTTAGTACACAGATATGAGATTGGTATGGATTTTTCGGGTCCTAAGAAGTGGATGCTATCTGTAGGTATGATATAACCAAATACATACGAGTCCACGCTACAATAAAGAGGGTATACACTGAAGTTATAAAAACATTTTCATTTCCTCGACTTACTTTACATCAGATCAACGGATTCTTTCCAGATATCTCGTTTACATTTCATTACATCTATTTTCTTCCTGCAGGCTCTGGTGTTTTCCTGGTGATGACCTCACTGCTGTTTCCTGCCCACGCTGCGATGAAGGACCTCTCCTCTTCCTCCTCTCCTCTCAGCACCCTGCTCCACTACCCGAACTCCAAGTCCTCCGTGGCACCGTTCTCTCCATCTTCCGGTACCGCATCATCGCCAACGTTATCCTCCACTCCCATCTCCAAACCTCAGCCGTTCTGCCTCCAGACGGGACCTCACCTCATCGCTAGCATGCAGCTTCAGAAACTCAACTCTCACTACCAGAACCTCGCCGGTGCTTCTGCGGGACACCAAGCACCTGGAGGAGCTCAAAGGGGATTCGGTGCCTCGCCTCTGGGCACGGGAAACCAGATTCTGGGCCCCTCTGGAGGTCTGGGTGGAGGTGGGATGGGCGTTGGTATGAACATGGGGAACCAAAGCACCAGCACGGGTGCATTAATCGATTTTGACCCCGTGGACGAGGAGGTTCTCATGTCACTGGTCGTTGAGCTCGGTTTGGATCGAGCCAACGAGCTGCCTGAACTCTGGCTCGGTCAGAACGAGTTCGATTTCATGTCAGACGTACCGGCCGGATGCTGACGAGGAGAGAAAAGACTTTCGAGACGCAAAGAGACAAAGAGAGAGAAGACCTTGCTCTGTTTTGTTGGTCCCTTTCTTTTCCTGGGTCCATACAAGTGAAGAGACGCTGAGTTACAAAGAGAAAGACATCCCTTTCCTTTTTTGTGTTTATACTCCTTATGCAGACGGATAAAAGAAGACGGCTTTTGTTTTGTTGTTTTTTAAAGCAGGAAGAGGGAAAACTGTTCTTCTCTTGGATCAAACTGATGGTAGAAAAACCAACCTGACGGGATTAAGAAGTCTTTTGTTGCCTCGTTGCACTCTGATTGTTGCCTTTTCATTTCAAGAAAAACTCCAAAGCATGAGCGAGGACTAATTCTGTCGGCTTAATGAAAAACAAGCTGGTTGAAGACGTTTGGCGCTCTCTGGAAACACCACGTAAAGAAGACGCACCTGTTGGACTCGAACAGTGCTGTATTCTCTTAAAAAAAACATGACATTATGGGAGATTGGTGAAGCATGACAAACACTACGGTTCCTGTTTTCTTGAAGGACAATATTAGACTCACGGGAAAGAGAGTCCCGTCTCGCCCACACAAAGACCACAAAGACAGCGATTGTCTGAGAACTGGTTATCTCAATGTTCTTTCGTTCCTTTCTTGAGTTTTGAATTAACTTCAACCATCTTATTCACAGAACATGTTATTTAAGACAGTGGCTGATATCCATCCGGACTTCTTGACAAGGAGTGCTTCTGTAGCGCGTCTATAATCAGTCTGAACATAATGAATTAGATCAAGGGATGTGGAATCTTTCGAAGCATGGGACCTGAATGGAGTAAATTGTTTCTCTCTCTGGAAGCAGCCTCGTTTAAAACGACGGTCATGTGAGATGTTTTGTTTTCTGGCCTGCAGTGTAAGAGCATTGACCCGTTTGGTGTCTGTGACCCTTCATGGCACTTCCTCTTACATTAAATAACAAGGTCTTGTCAACCGAAAGGCAATAATAGACAAATTCAAGTGCCTTCTGTTTTCCTGTTTCAACACTTTCATGTTTGTGTCAAAACGGTTTGTTTAGCCCTAACGGACCTTTCCATCATATCAGTGTCCCTGATAAGGAAGTGTTTTCTGTCGGGTCATCGTCAAGCCTGCAGACTGCGGTTTGCACACTTTGCAGGACAGATTTGAAGTTAAACACACACTGTGGTTTGGTTTCAGCAGTGCAGACTTTAAGGTGGTTCAAGTTGGACCAAAGTGAGATAAATAGCATCTCAACAAGCATTGTGCCTACTGTCAACCATATTTAAGGACCTCATCCTTGTTGAACAATTATATACTGAGAAATATCAAAATAAAAGACTATTGTTTTTGATTTGACTCTTGCTAGCTAGCTATCACTCTGCTAACTTGGGGAAACGTTAGCATTAGCTTTACAGTAGATCTGTATGGAAAGCATGCGGCAAAACTCTTACAAAAAACCAAACATCTTTTGTGAAATATACTTTATAATATCACTTTAAAATAGTGGTTTTTCTGTGGCTCTTTTTCGATATCATACAAGTAAACATTTAGGCTAACGTGGAAGCTAACACTAAATCATAAGAGCTACATACACATATCAAATCAAACTCAATAACAAGACTGCTTGTCCTTGGGTCAAATTAGACCCGTTTCCCAATTATTTTACGTCGAGATAAAGGGTTACTTTATTAAAATGTCGAGCATCTGGGGTCAATTTTTGTAGAATTAGTCAGAATTGTTGCGTTTTTTAAACTCAGAAATTAGGTTTGAATTCGTGTAAATGAAGTCTATTGACCGTACATTTCGAAAAGAAGAGTAACTCTTAAATCGGAATAAAGTTGGCTCAAAAGGTAATTATTTATACTAGATGCTTTAAAAACAGTGAAACCCTGAGGACAAAAGTTGCAGTTGATAGGAAGAAAACACAAGGGTTAATTAAGTGAAGCTGAATCCTTCAATACTAAATATCAAAACAAAGCTAGTTCGCTGCAAGCAAGTGATATATTTCTTATTTGCATTTCCCTTGTTTGACCAACATGATGCTGCCATAGTTAACTCCATTTTACCAGGTGTTTTTTTGCACACTTGTGGTTGGGAAATACCCACGGGTTAAACTGACACCCACACCTCCACCTCTTCCCACCTATAGCAGCTGTACTGTGCTGCAGATTGATCCGCGTGTGCACGGGGGCTCTGACCCATATCTGTAGTGGTAAGAAGAGACGGGGCTCGAACTGTGAAGCGGGAACAAAGGCCTCACTCAACCTGGTGTGTCTGTCATCCCGGGCATTGTGGGTCTTCTCTTGGACCACACACACATGAAATAACACACCTGTTCTTCATATGCACACAACACACTGAAACTACGTATAAAGGCATCGAAAAATAAACCCAGCATGCATGCACACGCGGGATGGTATTACAGCAGGGAAACGGGAGTAGCAGCCATGAAACAGGCACTTGTTCAGTTACACACACACACACACACACACACACACACACTTTACAGGTTGTTGGTTGGTGTGTCTGTGTGAGAAGAGATAGTGATGTCAGAGTGTCTGAAAATGCAAGTGTGTGTAAGGGGAAGAGAGCAGCAGGTGTTACGTCTGCGGGAAAACTGCGGGAAAAACCCGCCGAGACTCATTAATTAATTTAGATTTAGACAGGTCAGTTTACACACACTCAACAAGTCCCTGCACACATGCTTCCAAACATCAATTTTGACGGCGATTAGGTCTCGGTTACACTCAATGAACTTCCTTTTCCTTTCTTTAATGAAACGCGAGAAGCAGTGAATAATGAAAACCTGATGGAGTCATTTGACAGAATCCTTTTTTTTTTTTTAAAAAGGGATTTCCCCGCTTTTATTGAAAGGAATAAAGACGCCTCTCATCGCCTCAAAATCCAAAAGACAGGCGCTCTGATTCACTTATCCTCCATCTCATCGCCTAATGGGTCAAAATAACATTCTTCACATTGAGACGTGTGTGTGTGTGTGTGTGTGTGTGTGTGTGTGTGTGTGTGTGTGTGTGTGTGTGTGTGTGTGTGTGTGTGTGTGTGTGTGTGTGTGTGTGTGTGTGTGTGTGTGTGTGTGTGTGTGTGTGTGTGTGTGTGTGTGTGTGTGTGTGTGTGTGTGTGTGTGTGTGTGTGTGTGTGTGTGTGTGTGTGTGTGTGTGTGTGTGTGTGTGTATCCCAGCTGAGTGAATGTGTTGTTGCTTTGCCTCCTCCTCCTCCCATGAGAAGTTGTCGAGATGTTTGAATCTTCTGAGGGTTTTCATTTCCTCTTCTCCTTGACGCCCGATATTGCAGTTTAACCCCGGCGGTGACCTTTTGAACCCAAATATACCTCATAGCGATTTGGTTTCTAATGACAAAAACGTAACTCCACGCAAACATATTCCTCATTTTTGGTTTCTACCGAGCCTGGAATACCACAAAAGTGTATTTTGGCAACTAAATGATGACAGAAAACTACCTTAAACTGTTTGAATTGCATGGTGTTGGTAAAACTACAAATCTTAAACCCAATACAGATCATTTCCCGAAGTAAACTACAAGTTTTAAGTCTGACTTCCTGTCTTTCTTTCCATAATTAAAGTCATATTTTAACGTGCTTTGCCATCTAGGACACTTCAATGAACAGAAAACTAACTAACCAACCAGTTTGATAATGGATTTGTTGATACAGCAGAGTTTGCTTATTCCCTAGAACAGGGGTGTCAAACTCAATTTCCCCGCGGGCCACATTAGTATATGGTTGCACTCAAAGGGCCGGTTGTAACTATATAAATATACATATATAAATGTATAATATATATAAAATAATGTATTATATTACATTATTGCCTCTGAATTGGATTATTATTGGATAGGGTAATAACTTCCTAATTAACTTCGTCTGAAAGCAGAAGTCCAGGGCAAATAATTGCAAGTGTCTTCAGGGCGCATCACACAAAACGAGATGCATTGTGGGACATGTAGTTTATGGGCAACCTGCTTCTGTAAAGTGGCATGTAACCGTATAATAAGCGTATTATAATCTTTGCAAGCTCTTGCGGGGCCACATAAAATGAAGTCCCGGGCCTTGAGTTTGACACCCCTGCCCTAGAAGAAGATGCCACATTCAATAAGTACTTACAGCTATTAAGGGCAACAAAATCGCATAACAAAATGTCCTTAATTCTCAAACTAACACGTTGGAGTATATTTCTGTCTAAACCTCACAAAACGGAGATGTTAAGACTATATTTCAATGTTTTCACCATAACAGGACATATGCTACAAACCCTTTCTAATTCACTTGTTTTCGGATGTTGGGATTCTTCCTGCTCTTTGTATCTGCGTCTCGTGGTCTCTACAACACATGAAGTGGATTTACGGTTTCCATTCTGACAGCAGTGATTTGTAGCCTCCGAGCCTCAGGGTCATGAAAAATGTTCCGGCACATCAAGGCCGGTGAAAAGCCTCGACATGAGCCGTGATGGATCTGCTAAAAGGTCGCTGTTACAAGGTTCCCTCTCCACACGTAATGCAAATGTTCCGCCACTGAGGTCTGCTTGTGAAACTGAAGCAGACTCTGATTTAATCATCATATTCACGTTAAAACATGTGACTTGTTTTTACATGCAGTCTGTCTCCTTTCTTTTATGTTTTTCTAATGTTGAAATGAATATTATTCAAAGATGATTTTTAAAGCACTTTTGCTCGACGGCTCTCACTTGTACATCTATATGAATATGTAAATGATTGATATCATATAACAAAAAAAAAGCTTGTATTTTTGTTACGGCTCTGAGTTTTGGGGGGGAATAAAGAAAGTGAAAATGTAACTGGAGTGAAGGTGTTTCTTTTAATAACAGACAGGATATGAAGTCAAATGAATATACATTTTCATTGAACATGCTGGATAGGTTTAATCAACAGATAAATGAGCCTTTCATAGACTCTGAAACAATATATTAACCAGATAAGGTCTAAATTTTTCTGAATAATAGCTACATGTAATTAATTGTTTAACCCTCCTATTGTCTTCCCCCCCCCCCCCCCCCCCCCCCCCCCCCCCCTTACTTTGGTGTTCGCGGTCAAATTTGACCGGTTCTGTTTTAACTGCTATTACATTAACACAAAAACCATTAATCATCACCAAATTTCATTTAACACCCTTTCAAACTGTACATATTGTATCAGACTACTGGTATACATGAACAACTGCAGTAAATATACAAAGAATAGACACTGAACTGTATTGTGTGTGCCAGGTGTGATCCATGTGGGGGGATGGGCACATTAGGGGGGGAACACATCTAGAGTGTGTGTGTGTGTGTGTGTGTGTGTGTGTGTGTGTGTGTGTGGTGTGTGTGTGTGTGTGTGTGTGTGTGTGTGTGTGTGTGTGTGTGTGTGTGTGTGTGTGTGTGTGTGTTCTAGCATTACTATACTTGTGGGGGCCTACATCTGTTTACACAGTCACGTGTGGGGACTGGCTTCCCTTATGGGGACAAATTGGAGGTCCCCATGAGGGGAATAATTAATTTTAGGGTGAAGACTTGGTTAGGGTTAGGGTTAGGTTAAGGGTTAGGGTTAGGGTTAGGGTTAGGTTAAGGGTAAGGTTAAGGGTTAGGGTTAGGGTTAGGCATGTGT